GTTCCAGGAAAATCGCTGTTAAGCGAAATTGTTGTCAAGCGAGAAAAAAAACATTGGAATGCATTGAAAACCGGTTAATGCATTCCAGTGGGGGAAATACCTGATCGTCCAGCAAAGATCCTCCATAGGGCAGCCATTTTACGATCCCTGTGTTGCAAAAATAGGTCCAGAAAACAGCAGGGAGCCATTTTGCGAACCACCTATCAGCTGTTTTTAATCGTCATCCAGCAAAAAAACGGTTCCCAAAGCTGGGACTGAAACGACGTAAAGTGAAAAAATCCCCATAAAAACATTGTTTTGCAATCACTATAGCGATTGGAAAAAAGTCATTGTAAAGCAATTTCGTCATCTAACAGGGTCGTCGTCAAGCAGGGCACCACTTTAATCAATCTGATATTGGTATTGCTCATCTGATGATGTCCATGTGTAGTGTCACCTCTTGTGTTGTTGGAAAAGATGTGATGACCAGCTTGTTCTATGGATAAAACTCTATTAGCCTTTGCCCTGCTTCATTTTGAACTCCAAGGCCTAACTTTCCTGTTGTTCCTTTTATCTCCTGACTCCCTACTTTAGCATTCCAATTGCCTATAATGACAAGAACATCTTTTTTTGGTGTCAGTTCTAGAAGGTCTTGTAAGTCTTCATAGAATTGGTCAATTTCAGCCTCTTCAGCATTGGTGGTTGGTGCATAAACTTGGATTACTGTAATGTTGAAAGCTCTGCTTTGGATTCATATTGAAATCACTCTATCATTTTCGAGATTGCTTTTCCCACTCTTTTGTTTACTATGAGGGCTACTCCACTTTTTCTACAGGATTCTTGCCCACAATAGTAGAAATGGTAATCATCTGAACTGAATTTGCCAATTCCTGTCCATTTTAGTTCACTGACACCCAGTATGTCAATGTTTATTCTTGCCATCTCCTGCTTGACCACATCCAGCTTACCAAGGTTCATAGATCTTACATTCCAGATTCCCATGCAGTATTTTTCTTTGCAGTATCAGACTTTCCTTTCACGTCCACACACGTCTGCAGCTGAGCATCCTTTCGACTTTGGCCTGACCACTTCATTAGCTCTGGAGCTACTTGTATTTGTCCTCCACTCTTCCTCAGTAGCATGTTGGACGCCTTCCGACCTATGGGGCTCATCTTCCAGCATCATATCTTTTAGCCTTATGTTTCTGTTCATGGGGTTTTCTTGGCAAAGATACTGGAGTGGCTTGCCAGTTCTTGATCCAGGTGGATCGCGTTTAGTCAGAACTCTCCACTATGACCTGTCCGTCTTGGGTGTCCCTGCATGGCATGGCCCATCGCTTCTCTGAATTACTCAAGCCCCTTTGCCATGACAACGCAGCAATCCGTGAAGGGGTATTGCTGATAAAGGCAGAATAGCCTTGCAAGAAAAAAAAAGTGATCCCCCCCCCGTTTAATTTCATTACTCTTCTCACTTTTATTATGTAATAGGGCCATCTGCCATGCAGTTTGAAGGCTTTGGCTATGGAAAAATGCAAAAGAAGTGAGGAACTGAAACCAGTTTAACTGTTCCTTTAAAAGGCATCTTTTATTTGAAGTAATATTTATGCTGGGCACATTGATATGAAAACAGGATATACACAAACGCTCCAGTTTTAGTCACAGCATTGTTAACTCGAGTCACATGTTCATTTTCACATTTTAAACTTGGGATTTCCACAGTATGCAACTGGTGCCAACAAAAACAACATTTGTTTGTATCTGGTGGAGTGCACTTGGTCTGTAGATAAAATAATCCTCCTACCAGTTAAAAATACTGGCAGTCAAAGTTAAGCAGTTAGGAGACTAATCTACTTCCTAACTGCCAGTGAGCCGTTATATGCAAATAAAGATAAATATTACCCAGCTGAATAATGAGATAAAAGCCCCATCCTGTGCTGGAACTTGACATGGAAAGGAGACAAAGAGCTAACTTTGCTCTCTGCAATAAATCCTATGGATTATCTGGTTCCACCATCTACAATAAATCCTATAGGACTATGGATTATAATTTCCATATGATGGGAAGCAAGTATCTGTTAATGTGTTAATACTATTCATCTTAGCCTTATCAGACTGCTATGTATGTGCTCCTCAGTTCTGAACAATTAGATATTTTAGGGGCTTCTGTTACTACCCGAGATTTGGTTTGTTTGGAAGAAAGTCACTTGAACTATATTTTATTTTTGTAATATATTGTAAGCTACAGATAACAAAGTGACTATCCCAGCTACTTCTTTAAATGTTGATTTGTGTCTCTTAGGTTTCCTTTCCCCACAATTGGCCTTGGATGGTAGTTCTGCCTTGCACATTTGCTGACTTGGTCCTAGAAAAAAGGCTATGTTTCTCTCTCTTTTACCATTGCTTAGATTGCAATAGCCATCCTTTTTGCCTGACTATCTCTGAGTGGGGGACCAGCTGCAGAAGCAGATAGAGTTTCTACATCTTTAAGAATTAGATGGAAAAGAACAATTTGGCAGCTACTATTTGCCTGGCAAAACTAAACTCAGAATCCCCTTTCTATTCCAAATGTTGAATGTGCAAGAGATCCATTCTCTTTTATCTACCCACCATATTCAGTGAAGGTTTCTGGAATCTCTGACATATTCTTATCATGAAAGATATTAAGATGATGACGATGATGATGATTAAACACCAGCCACAATAAATCAAAATTACGGTACAAAAACATTGGCTGGTATTACTGATGTAAGCTGCCCCAAGTAGATGTTGTCTAGAGGGGCGGGGTAAAAATCGAATGAATGAATGAATGAATGAATGAATATATAAATAAATATGTAACAGATACAAGTTTTAACCAAAAACCTAAGTATCTATTAAATATCGGTGAAGCATGTATGCTGTTTCTAATATTGTCATTTTTTGTAGCTCTGATGGTGTTATCTCTGAGATCTGCAACTGGTTATAATACTGTGTAAAATTTCTTGATATTGTTCCCAAGCCCCGATGACTACAGGGACCACTGAAGTGTGTTTCATCCACAAGCAAGATGTTTCAATTGCCAGGTCTCTGTACTTCATTAGTTTTTCCAATTTCTTATCTTCAGTTCTAGCATCCCCTGGAATTGCAATGTCAATGGTCCAGACATTTCTTCATTCTATCACTATTATATCTGGAATGTTATGTTCAGGGTGTCTATCAGTTCAGATCCGGAAATCCCACAATATCTTGATGTCATCATTTTCTGATACCTTCTCTATCTAATATTCCCATGGGTTTTTGGAGGCTGACAAGTTATATTTTTCGGATAATGACCTAATTTTGCCACTCCAGAACTGTCATTATTAGCAGCTTAGGCACAATGGAGTAAATGCTGGAGGGAACGGCATTGATAGTGTCCCTACCACTTGAGCCAGATCGGATGGAAGAACGTGTTGCAGCAGGTTTCAATCTGCTATCTTTCAGCTTTACAGATTTCTATAGGGCTCTTAGGATCCCCACTCTGGTGCAGTGGACAGAGTGAGGGACTAGGTCTCTGGAGAAGAAGATTCAAATCTTCACTTGGCCACAGAAACTCACTGGACGAGTGGAACTTTTAAAACCACTCCTCAAATATCTCACTAGAAGTCAGTTCCAACTTTACGGCACAGAACACACACATGTAGGATTCTTAGGATCTTGTTAAAGCCTCAAACAATTTGGACTGACAAGTCCACTTGGCTTCTGTATCTGGAATGAAGGGGATCCCAGCTTCTCCTTTTCCAATGGCAGCAAATTCAGGTCCACCTTGCTAGTATCACAATGATGTACAGTAAAAGAAGCTATTGTGTGCAGTGTGTTGTCTTCTCTGAATGGCAGCAAATTCAGGTCCACCTTGCTAATATCACAATGATGTAAAAGAAGCTATTGTGCGCCAGTGTGCCGTCTTCTCTATTCTCAGCCCTTCAAGCATCATTCCTGTCCATTCCACCCACACCCTTCATCAGCTGTTCCCTGTCCAGGATCCAGGGGAGCAGTCCCTCCTGATATTTTTTAATTGATGGATAATGTTGGGGGCAAAATGGCTTGTTCACTCCACCACACCCCTTTTGGACTACTCAACATTTCCATATAGCACACAACCCTCATACAGCACCCTGAAGCATGCACACACAGCTCTTATGTTCCCACAAGAAGAGGCTCTTTCCTATTCTTACACCATTATTCCTAGCCAGCTTGTGGCGGCAAACCACCTGCAAGCCACACTTCTCCCCCCCTCCCCGCTTTGTGAAAATTACCATCTGCTCGCCCGTGCAGGTGAGGCAGCACACGAGGCAGCCAAAATACGTTGCAGTCTCGGTGGTGTTAATATCAATCACAACAGCCCTGATAGGTTGACCGATATCATCCTTTTGCGTTGCGGTGTGTGTGTGTGGGGGGAAGGCTACCATCCACCCGAGAGGAAACCTTGCAGGACTGAAGAGATGTTTCAAGTAAACTCTTTCTGTGTCGGAGGGGGGGGGGCTCGGACATCACGTTCGTCTCAGGTTGCACCGACCCTCTCGGCAGCCCAGCTTCCATAGTATTACAGTATTTATTAGTTGTTTTTCCCACTCAAACGGCTTCTCGTTATACGTTAGTGGTAACTTATCGGCTGCCTTAAAGCGTCCCTCCCCGCCCCTCAGTGCTTAGCTGAACCATCATCGTCTGGCGCGTTCATTGTGGGAGCCAGGATGGGGCCAGCTCCCCCGAGACAAGCTTCCTTAGTATTATTTATTCCAGTAGTTGTTTTTCCCAATCAAACGGCTTCTCGTTATACGTTAGCGGCAACTTATCGGCTGCCTTAAAACGTCCCTCCCCGCCCTCAGAGCTTAGCTGAACCATCATCGTCTGGCGCGCTCATTGTGGGAGCCAGGATGGGGCCAGCTACCCCGGGAAACCTCAGAGGGGCGCCAGGGCTCCAGAGTGTCCGGCCGGCCACCTTTCCCTGCCGGGGAATTTTGATTTTCATCCTTGCTTCGGGGGTTTCCCCGCCATGGAAATTCCAGCCTTTGCTCCCGCCTTCCCGACCCCCCCCCCCGCGCGCTCACTCTTCCCTGTTTTAAAAAGCAGGCGAGGAGGTCCTGGCGCAGCGCTTTCTCGTTCAAAGCCACCCCCTTGGCGGTTCTTGTGGAAGGCGCAGCGGCCCCGATTCTGCCACGGGGGGCTCCTTTGCCAGCTGAAGTCCGGAGTAAGACGAGGACGAGACCAAATGGGCAGAGGCACCTCCGCCCGCGCAGCTCTCTTGCTGCTGCTGGCCATCCTGACATGTGAGTTTCCTCACTTCTCCCCCGTCCCCCTTGTTTAAGGTTTTGATGTGCCTGTACTTTACACATTTACTCTGTCTGAACTTGACATGGGCTCCCCCCCCCCAACTTCAGAAGACAGGTTTGTTTAACTGCACATGTATTTTTTTTAAATCACACGCTCAGGTTGATTATAGGATATGCTTATACTATGATTTTATAAATAATACAGTAACTGGAAGGGTTTCTAAATAACGATTGCAATACAAACTTATATCGACCATCCAAATGTGGTTGGACTACAACTCCCAAGAGCCCTAGCCAGCATATCCAGAAAATTATAATGGGAGTTGTAGTCCAACCACAACGCTAAGGCCAGAATCTGCCCTTGCCTGGTTTAGGTGTAAAAGAGTGGCAGATTTGGAATCCATTGCACTGAATATTGTGGGAATTACTGTACTTGAGTAAGCAAGTGCAAGAATGTGCTGTTAGCCTCCTGCTTCCTCAGAAACAACAGTACGTACAATTTTGCGCAAATCTACGCAGAAACGTGTCCCATTGAATTCAGCAAGGCTGACTCTCAGGTTAAGTTTGTATTAAATGGTTTTGCTGAGTTCTTTGATATTTGCTCCAAAGGAAGTCTCCAAAGGAAGCTACCTAAATTATTTAGAAGTTTCAAGTACTGGGGTAATTGAGTGGTGGAAGTGCAGATGTGTATTAAATATGCTCACTCCCTGTGAGCATTCAGCATTTTCCTGGATTGAATACCACTCACTTAACAGCACAATTAACTTACTGTCAGCTGTTTAAAACAAGTTGGCCTTTGTTATCTCAGATACATACTTTTATGTATTTATGAAGTGTTATAGCTATTGACTTAAATGTAAACACCTGAAGTTCAGTTCTGGTTTAAGAATTAGCTGGTATTTTTCAGTTACAACCTGATCTTGTGCATTGTTGTAAGTGCTATTGAATTCAGTGGCCAGCAGCTTATTCGTGTTCTGTGTTATGTTTGTATAACTTGCTATGATTACTAATTGATGATGTGTCAGGATGCTTCGGAGTTGTTTCAGTTGAGCATATGATGGGGGTGCATGATTGAAATGTGTTTGTGGACCTTATGAATTAGCTGGAGTTTTGAGATTGCATGTACTGTACCTGTGCTGCCACAAATACCACCTTGCAAGAGGCAAATTACGTAAACCTTATGCAAATACCAATAGGAATTTGGCCAAAGAGGTTTACTTCCAAATATACATATGTTTATAGCACTGCAGCCTTGAAGTATTAAAGTTATGATGAATACAGTCTTCCCCAAGAAGTCTAAGTTCTTTACCTCATCTATTACCACAGCTATATGTGTAAACAAGCTTTGAATGACACTAACATCAGATTAATTTCTAATATTCAGATTTAAGTGACCTATGAGTTACACTGGAACTCCTATTTTATAGTCTAAACTGGCTTTTAATTGGTCATTTTATTCTCATTGGCATTTACTTCCAAATAAATTTGCCTAGGATTGTTAATTCAGGCAGTAATTCTGTGCTTCTTTACTTGGTTATAAGCCACACTGAACCCATCACACTATTAATAATAGTGTGGTCATATTATTTATACATTGGCTAAAATCCTGTTGCTTTAATGTACACTGCGTAAGGCTGTTGACATCATCAGCTGCATCAAAACTTTCCAGTGCCCAATCCCCCCACAGTCTCTTTCATAATGGGAAAGCCAGCAGTGACAATTATAGACTCCCCTGACAGTTCTGCGGGCCCCAGTGGCATCCCCCGATGAAAGGAATCCCAAGGTGAAGCTTTGTGATCTTGAGGAGTGGGTGGAAGGGAGATCAGAAAATTTTAATGTAACATTATTAGCCACAAGTTTTTTTTTAATTAGCCACATGGTGTAAGTTACAGTATTGGATTTTGGCCGAAATGGTTCATTGACTTGGAGTAATAATCTAGCTTTGCTTGACAAACCAATCATGACAAAGTTGCATAAAAATATTTGAGCAGACTTACAATGTGGTCTATACAAGACTGGCTTCCACTGAGCCCAGTGGTGTTTCTGCCTTAGTCGGGGGGGTGTGTGTGTGCAGGATTTCACTCTTATTCCATGACTAACTTCCAAATAAGTTAGTCATGCATGGAGTGACCATCAGATCAATACACCCATATGCAGACAACAACTCCAGTTTGTCTATATGCTATAAATACATCAGACAAAATAATAATAATAATAATCCCAAAACAGCAAAGCAATAGACAAAAGTATTGTGACATTTTAACTGCTATATTTTAATGTGAGCTTTTGTGGATCAAGTTCATTTTCTCATTGTGCAAAGATTTTTTTATGATGCCAAGATTATTATGCTCTGTTAAATTCATAGTTGCAGTTTTAAGAGAGGTTGCCATATTAGTCTGCAAGCATATGAAGCAAAAAGGAAAAGGAAAAAAAGCATTGTGGCATCTTAAAGACTAATTATGATATTTTAATATAAGCTTTTGTGCACCTTCTTGGCTCACTTTGTCAGACATATGAGGTGGAAAACAGGGATTAACACTGTAAAACATTCATGCTGGACTCTTAAGTGCTATGATTCATGACTTCTGTTTGGTATTCAGTTCTGCAAACATCCCAGCATGAAATGAAATACCAGGCAAAAGAAGACAGAGAAAAAAAAAGAGAGAAAAGAACTGTAAAGATCAACTGTAGGCATTAATACTGTACAATTAAAGAAAACAACAGGAATAGTGTGTTTTAATACATGATAGACTATACCTTTGAGTCTTGTGGGGAAATATGGGTCTGGAAGTTGTGAAGGAAAATAACAGTACAGTATGTGGCCAAGTGGGTCAAATTTCAGCAGTCTGCCTCCAAACAATATGGCAGCAGAGAACAGAACATTTTTCACTTGCATGGATGGGAAAGTGTTCATTAGCAGAACTTAGCAAAAAGAAAGAAATGAAACATAAATCCCACTGGAATTTAACAAATGCCTCTGTAGTGGAGAGAGGTATGTATATAATGGGTATTTTTAAGATTACCAGAGCTGCTTGCATTGTATTGCTGTTCTCATATGTATTATGAATTTAACAAGCAAAAATAAAAGTTGCTATACTGGAAAAGAAACTCTACAAAACAAGAATGCAGAAAGAAACAGCTGAGGTAAAATTTATTCACCTGATGGACACACATATAAATGGACTTAATGTCAGTCAAGGTTTCTTTAGCCATTACAAATTGTAAAATTATGCTGTTATCTACAGTACCTGCGTATGTAACAGAGACTACAGAGAAAAATGGAGCTCAGTAAAACTATGTACACATGTTAACCCTAAACATACTTGTCTGTTGTTTCAGCTGAAGCATTTGAAATTGAAGACATTGCGCCTGGTCACAAGGTTGCTGCACAGATTGGTCAAATGCTGGTGTTAAGGTGCCGTACAACTGGATGTATATCTCCTAATTTCTCTTGGAGAACACACCTGGATTCCCCATTAGGCGGTATTATGAGTACCCAAGGACCCAATTCATTTTTAACTGTGGAGTCTGTTGGATTTGAAAATGAGTATACCTATTTCTGTAATGCTCACTGTGGAGAAGAGAAAAGAGAAAAAAGAGTCCAGATTAACATTTATTGTAAGTAACTAGATAATGGTTGAATCTGTAATAATTCTTGTGCACAAATATGTTAAAATATCATATTTTGATATTTTGTTTAAAAGATTGGGTGCAAGCTTTTGAAGCACATTTAACTCTCCCTAAATCTAGATCAAAAGCTAGCTGGTCCGAATGGAATACTATTTCTCTGGAGCTGTGCTTCTGTTGTAAAGTCAGTCCTATAAGAGAAATGGGTCTATATGAAAAGAGCTAGTGTTCAGTTTTGCCCATTTCTGAATTTGTTGATAATGCCGTAGCAGGTTCAGTTCAACATGCATTTGAATATATGGAATATGGGGAGAAATACAGTAGATTTAAAACCTGAAGTCATATACATTTAATGGTACAGTAGTAAGATAAAGGTTCCCCTTGACATTTAGTCCAGTTGTGTCCAACTCTATGGTGCGGTGCTCATTCCCGTTTCCAAGCCGTAGAGCCAGCGTTTGTCTGAAGACAATTTCCATGGTCACGTGGCCAGCGCAACTAGACACGCTTATGGTAGTAGCAAACACCATTTATGAGGATTTTTTTTCAATTTAAATGAATAGGTACTGCATGAGGTACTGTCTGGTTCTTGAACAGCTTCATTGGTTTTCAATGGGGTATAATTTGAACAATTTTCCCTTGTAGATTTTTGTTAAACAAATACAGAAAGTGCACAGGTCAGTAAGGCAAGAATACTATTATGGAAATTCTCACACTGGCATTTCATTTCAGTCAGAATGGTTTAAAATTTTTAAAATTGTACATTTTTATAGTATTTAAATCATCATTTAAATCAATTTGATTTTTTTTAAAACACTGATTTTTTTATCCACTTTGATTCAGATGCTGTTGAATCTATCTCTCTGATAGCTTTTCTGTATGTATTATTTTAGCCTTTCCCAGTGATCCTGTTATTGAGGTTAGCAGCCCATTGGTTCTCGGAAAACCAGCTAGCATCACCTGCCGTGTTCCTAAAGTGTTTCCATCTGAACAACTGGTGCTATCTCTGAAGAAAGGTGATGAAGTTCTTCCCATTGGACAGTGTTGTGATGAGTCACATTCTAGTTCAGTACAAACAAAAACTGTAAATGTTAACTTTACCCCCACTAAAGAAGATATTGGAAAAGAAATCACATGTTTAGCTGAACTACCAATAGAGGACATGGAGTTTGAGCCCAAGGAGAGGAAGACGACACATGTACTCAATGTCAACTGTGAGTATCTTGAGGTTATTAAAGCTTCAAAGCAAATGTGTATATTGCATTATTAGATAGTATGTATCTTTGTGTGTATGAAAGTTTGATGACGTTAGGATGCTGCATGTATTATTTCAGGCCTCACATACCTGGCATCAGGAGTACTACAAACACAAAAAGGACCGAATGAACTTACTTTATTGCTTGTTTATCTTCCAAGGAGCTGGGATTGGCATACAAGCTTCTACCTCCTGTTACTCTGGCCATGCAGATGTTATCTCCATAACAGTTCTGGGAGATAGGCTGAATACAGTATGAACCAATACAATTGACGCAACAGTTTTCAGATACAGGATCTCTACTGAGATTTCCTCTTGCTTTAAGGTCACCGTCACCCCCGCAGTAGTATTTAGGAGACCGTCAAAAGTAATCTTACAGTTTTTGACATATGGCTGTGATTCTCTCACAGGCTTGATATGGAGAAATTTGTTCTCTGTTTTCTTCTTGTTTATTTGAAACACAAGGAGTCAGGGCTGGGAGTTCAGTTCCCAGGTGTATCTCCCAGGAGCTGCACAGGGCCAAAATATCACCTGAAGGAGGGACTGATAAACAAATTTTACTAGTTCATGCCTCAGAAACTTTAGAAAGGGTTGTCATGAGTTAGAATTAACTTGGTGACATAACTCAGTGGTTTAGCTATTTGGCTGCAGAGCTAGAGGTTGGGAGTTCGATTCCCTACCTTGCCTTGCTGACAGGGGCTGAACGTTGATCCATAGCATCCCTTCCAGCTCTTCTACTACTACTACTACTACTACTACTACTACTACTACTACTACTACTACTACTACTACTACTACTACTACTACTACTACTACTATTATTATTATTATTGCTATTGCTATTGCTATTGCTATTGTATTATATCATTATTGGGGGCAAGTCTATTGGACTACGGCTCAGGAGATGAAGGTCCAAATCCCTCTCTGCTATGAAATTCACTGGGGGTAGCAATGGTAAACACCTCCGTGAACATTCAATATCCCTCAAAAACTCTATAAGAATTGTCATATATTAGAAATTACTTGTCAGCACACAACAACCGGGTTTGTTTGTACAGTTGACTGTTTTCCCTTTAGTTTTTGTGTATTTAATGTTTGTATATTTCTGATCATTTTCAACTTTAAAATAAGGTACCACATGACACTGGGTGTTCTTCCATCCAGACCATTTCCTTAAGATTTTCAGCAGTTTCTTCATGCTGAACATTTTCTGCAACTCATACCTTTTTCATCTTTGTACTTTAAACTGTTCACTTTTTGCTTTTTTCTAGTTGGCCCACTGGACACTCGCATCACTGCATTCCCAGCGACCACCCTTTCTGAAGGGGAAGCACTGACACTCAGCTGTGTGACTGAAAGTCATCCACCAACAAAAATTGTGTGGAAGAAGCAGCTAGCTGATGGCACTGTCCAGTTCATTGAAGAAAGTTACAACCTGCACATCCCACACACACAGTTCTCCAGCTCCGGAATTTATATCTGTGAAGCAACAAACAATGTAACTAAGGAAGTGGAGAACAGAACAGTGTCTATTACCATACAAGGTATGATGCTGCAGGGATAGGGTATCTTGTCTATAGAACTGAGCTAAATCCAAAAAGATGAAGCTGGGAAGGAAGAGCAAGGGAGTGTCCTTGCGTCTCTTTCTTAGCTTCAGCTCACGGTCAGGAAAGAGGTTATTAACTGCTTTGTTGATCATTGATAATCTTGCCTTTGTAATTATTCCATCCTCATTTTATACTGGGAATTCATTTGGTGTTGCAACAGGATTAATATTTGAAAGAAGTACAAATTTGCTACATACCAGAGTTTGGGAGAGTCCTTGTTCTTAATATTGTGAGTCATTGTTCTTAAATGCATGAGTTCTTGTTCCTGATAGTATAAGTCAATGAGATCCTGCTACAGGATCATATTTTTCCAGTCTGGCCCAATCGTGTGACCAAGATACTGAGATGATTCTTGCTGCCCTAGGTGTGTTTGTGGAGACTAATCAAAAGAGGAACTCCTTCCTGAAGTAATTAGGAAAAGGAAGGAGCTCTGTGTAGACACCAGATCTTCTTTTCTTCCAAGAGACTGCATATGTTTTTCACACTGCATAAAATGTGGTAAACATCAGTTTTAATATGGCAGTTATGTGGTAGAGACATGTGAAGTATTTCACACTGATACTGAAGTAAGTTTTGGGTTATATTCTTCATCCAGGTCCCCCTGTCCACCCAGAGCTCTCTATCTTTCCTGGCACTAGCGTGCGAGAAGGAGAACATGTGACTCTGCAGTGTTCTGTGAAAAGCAGCCCTCCCGCTGATATCTTAATTATGAAGAAGTCTGCTACTGAAGATGCCGTCCTGGAGAGTCAGGATGGTTTTGTCCACATCCCAAGAGTGGCCCCTACTGATGCAGGAGACTATAAATGTCAAGTGAAGAATGAATTTGGGGAGGCTCAAATGACAAGAGCACTGCATGTGGAATGTAAGTTTTCATCACACCAATACTTATCTCTGCATTTCTAGGCGATGAAGCATTTCTTCCTTGCATGGCAAGTCAAGGGGCTCAGTAAAGGCCCTCTTTTTTAGGTGACCCCCATTGACTTTTCTTCAGGTATCCATAGATACCATCCGGTTACAGAAGATGTCTTCCTTGGACTTGTGGATGTTAGTTGTAATGTTTTGGTGCCTCTTAATTAAATGTTGTGATGAGTGATGGCACTTATACTTTTAGTTGCATTATAATCTGCCCTTTAAAGCTTTTGTTTTGAAAAGCAGATTGTAGAGATTTAAAATGAGTGAATAAATAAATCTACCTATTTATGGGACCATAGGGAAATGGGTTTGTATCAAAACCATAGAGGATCTTTCCATCCTTGTCTTTACATTATACAGTTATGCTTAAAGGAATGTCTTCCCTAGTACCAGCCTAGCTGGGATTTAGGTTCAGCTAGGAAGAGTTTGCTTATGTCTTTCCAGGGCACTACAGTTGTCAGAGCCTTCTTTGTAGTGGCACCCCATGTTTGGAACTCCTTTCTGTTAGATCTCTCTCACACACACAAACATGTGCAACACACACTTCTCTGCCAGGTGCTGGTTAACAACATGTATATTTGTACAATTTTTCTGAGAAATGGGATGTGTTTTATTTGTTTGTTACTGCTACTCATCTGTAGTGCTTTTACTATATTAGTATACATTTCTAATTTGTGATTTTAAATATCAGTGATTTTAGCTTTGTGCTTTTATGCATATTGTTAGCTGCCCCGAACTTTTTGAAGGAGGGGGAGAATAACTCAAATAATCAATAGAAATAGTGGCTGGTTAGATACTTCAGTGTGTCTGGCTGTGGAGCCGAAGATTTGGACTTTGATTCCCAACTATGACTCCTGGCAGAAGAGCCAGTCTGTATAACACTGGATGAGTGCCATAGTCCCAAGGCATCCCCAGAAGGGGAATGGTAAATCACTTCTAAGTACAGTGGTGCCCCGCTTAACGATTACCCTGATTCATGACGAATCTGCTTCACGACGATGTTTTTGCGATCGCAATTGCGATCACAAAACAATGTTTTAATGGGCAAAATCCGCTTTGCGACAGTCGGTTCCCTGCTTTGGGAACCAATTCTTTGCATTACGTTGGTCAAAAGAGCTGATCGCCGGGTTTTCAAAATGGCCGCTGGCTGCTTAAAATGGCTCCCCACTGTTTTTAGGAGGCATTTTTCACTGCACAGGCATCGGAAAATGGCCGCCCTATGGAGGATCTTTGCTGGACGAGCAGGTATTTCGCCCATTGGAACCCATTGAACGGTTTTCAATGCATTTCAATAGGATTTTTTAATTCGCTTGACAAGGATTTTGCTCTACAGCGATTTCGCTGGAATGGATTATCCTCGTCAAGTGAAGCACCACTGTATTGTCTATCTAGAAAACTCTGCAAAAGGTCATCATATGTTAGAATCAACTTAACATCATGTAATTATGATAGTAATAAGTACAGAACTTATCAGTGTATAAGGGACCTCATAAGAACAAGATAAGCCAAGACAAACTCCTGACATCAAAGGCATTCCTTCACATCAGTTATCTGCCCCCACCCATCCCGCCACCATGTGTTGCATTTGTAACTCCCACTGTCTTCCATCAGGGGCATTTTCTTACAGCTTAAAGGTGGCGGGAATTGTAGTATAACTCTGAGTTATGACTGAAGAATGGAAAGGCAAGGATAACAAAGGATTGATGTAACAAAGTAGATGCATTATGTATTTGGAGACAAAAATTCAGCTTACCGTCATATTTCAGAACATTATATTAAATATACTGTAGCCATAAATTCACATCTAGAATACATGGAATTCTCTCTCTTCTCTTAACTCCTTCAGCTAAAAAGGTATGGTCCTGGATAATGATTTAAAACTGGATTAGGAGAACCAAGTACTAGCCTTCACTGAACCATGATTTGCTTACACCATTTATTTTCTCTCAGCTTGAACCACATCAAATGATTCTTGTGAAGTGCTTCCACAAAGAAAGGGCTGGTATTTCCACTGCAAATCTTGTAATCTCCAATTCCCAGCTTTGTCCTAGAAAGATGCCTGTTTCTCCTGTGACTAGAAATAGATATCATTCAAGTTCTCAGAAATAGTGTCTCTTGGCCAGATCTTTTGAGGAATTGGCGTCTTGAAGATACATGAATCATACATGAAAAGATGTGCAAAACTTCTGATCTGAGTGGTAGTACCTAATTATGTGACAGTTGTGTTATCCTGACTGTGTACAATCAGTAAGGAGCTGTTCAATTTTGTGTTCTGTTTTAGATGGACCAAGGAATACAACAATTGTTGTCACCCCTTCTAACATAGTGAAAGAAGGTGACACTGTAATTATGATATGTTCTACCGATGGCAGTCCCACCCCAAAAGTTTCCTGGAAGAAACGGCTACCAAATGGAGGTTCTCAACTTGTTTCAGGAGATGGTACCTTAACACTGGAGAAAGTACAGGCTGAAGATATGGGGCATTATGAGTGTGAAGGAAGTAACCATGCTGGAAAAGACAACAAAGCTGTGGAATTAGTTGTTGAAGGTGAATTAAAATTTACAGTTAAATAATTTCTGTTTGAATTTCTAGACTCATACAGTGGGGTCTCGACTTACGAACTTAATCCGTATTGGAAGGTGGTTTGTAGGTCGAAAAGTTCGTAGGTCGAATCTGAATTTCCCATAGGAATGCATTGAAAACCATTTAATCTGTATCTGCTCTTTTCCGTCCATAGAAACTAATGGGAAGCTGCTATTCCCCCTGCCACTAGAGGGGGATATTTTTTCTTTTTTTTCCCCTTAGGTTCAGGAAACGAGGAGAAAGACAGGGAACAGTTTTCAAAGCACTTTAGAAATCTTTTTTTTCAACGAAGCCAATTTTAAATCATGTTTTAAAGCATGTTGTGCTGATTTTTTCAGCACAAAGACACACAGGCAGGCTTTTTAGGTGCTGAGCAAGCCTCCCCAAGCCTCTTCAGAGGCATCCGATCAGCTGATAGGCAGGGAGAGGAGGGGGCAGGACGGAGGGGGGGAAGCACAAAATGGCTGCCAGGCTCCCTTCTGGTGTGGGCTTTTAGCTGTTTCCTGCTCTTTTTCCTGCTGTTTGGGGGCTACCAAGGCCTGGTAAGTGACTTTCTTTTATTTAGTTTTAAGTTTCTGACCTCTTTTTCCCCTCCAGAAGCCTCTAAGGGGAGGGGGCACTTTTTTTCCTGTTCGTAACTCGAGGGAAGTTCGTATGTCGAGTCCTTATTTCCCCTATAGGGTGGGTTCGTAAGTTGAATTGTTCGCAAGTAGGGTCGTTCGTAAGTCAAGACCCCACTGTACCTTATTTAGACTTTTAGTGTTGATTGTTCTCCAGCTGATCTCTAGATAGTCAAATATCTGACAGATTATCAGCATTTTATCAATCTGTGATACTTTGTTTCAATATTTGTCAACATTCACCTAGTATAATATTTCTTCCCTTTTTTATCACATTGGTTGCTGACATGACAAAATGGTGCTTCTTTGTTTCCAATCAGTGTTTTCACCAACTACACCAGCATTAACTAATGCACCAGAAATTTTTACTGAGGTAGAAGATTTCACTACTGAGACCACAGCCTATAATACTCCACATCAAGAGGCTGACAGGCATGGTCAAATGGAAAATGAAACTTCTGCAACTCCAGAAGACACAGCCTTCACAACATACACAACAATGAAATATGATACAGTCACACATGTAGTGACTAGTTCTGACAATGATGAAAATGGTACAGAAGAAATAGAAATAATCATTGGTAGGTAATTTATTCCTTGCCTCTAATCAGTGCATATTCATAGGATTTCCCCAAGATCTTACTACTGTACTCTGTCCATTTTAAAAACTCTTGCATGGGGTTTGTGATCTAGCAATGTCTTTTATTCTCATGGAAAACTAGCAGACGAATGAGCCATTTGGTGCAAGCTTGACGTGGACAGAGATAGAAAATGAGCCTTATAATTAATTCAGTGCATATATTTACGTACTGCAAAAACAGAAAATAGTCCTGGCACTTTAAAGAACTGAAGGTTTGTTTTAGTGTGCTTGTGAATTATGCCCTACTTCCTCCTGCATGTGGAACATAATAGTTAAACCACTAGTTTATATACACAGAGGACAGGGCAGAGGAGTAGAAACCGCATGAGATAATCCATGCTCTGTTTCTCTGAAGATCATAATCGTGAAAGCTCACATTGAAATAAACCTGTTGGTCTTTAAAATGTCACAACTTTTTGCATTTCGTTTTTATTATACATTCCAAAACAAATTAATGGTGCTACAGTATGTTTCTGCTTTTCATAATGAAGACAGAGTTCTTCCTGACGTTTCGCCAGTCTCTGTGGCCGGCATCTTCAGAGGACTGGAATAGGAACTCTATCCATGCCCTGTTACTGTTTGTTGGATAGTTTTTATAGCTGTGGGAACAGCTTTTGTCTTTTTTCAGGAGAAAGGGTGATCAGCATGTTTTTGTTGTGATAAGGGGTTATCTGTCACTGTGATTGATGGGTGTCGTTAGCTGGTCTTTTTTGTGCAATGATCCCTGGCCCTTGTGGCTGGGTAGAGTTCGTTGACCTTTTGCAGGGTGTATTTTTCAGAATTGGAAGACAGGCTGTGTTTAGTTTTAGGCCTTCTTCCTTTCTGTTGAAGTTCTGTTTATGTTTATAGATTTCAATGGCTTTCCTGTTCAGTCTAACATACAGATTGCTGATGTTGTCCAGTACTTCAATATTTTGAAATAGAATTTCATGTCCAGCTTGTTTTAGGGATGTGCAGACAAAAGCTGTTCCCACAGCTATAAATACTCAACTGTCCAACAAACAGCAATAGAGCATGGAGATAGTTCCTACTTCAGTCCTCTAAAGATGCTGGCCACAGAGACTGGCGAAATGTCAGGAAGAACAACCTTCAGAACACGGCCAAAGAGCCTGAAAAACCCACATCAACCATTTGATCCCGGCCATGAAAGCCTTCATGAATACACAAATAGAGTTGTTTAATTCATCTGTTGCTTCTGGTGCAAAGAATTGATAGGATTGGCCATTACTGGTATATAGGATCCCTGAATTTAATGGCACAGGCATATGTAGATGGAAGGGGAGATGACATTAAATCCAAAAGGGAAAAAATATTTTGCTGTTGATGTAACAAAAAATAAAGTCTTATACCTGCTTTGAGACTAACAGATTTATTTTAGCATCAGCTTTCATTGATTGCAGTCTACTTCCTCAGTCAAAATTCACATGAAACATCATACTAAAATACATTGTCAAACAGACTATTAGAACTTCCTCTTTGAATTTTGCTCTTGAGAAGTTTATAATTAAAATAAAATTGCTAATGTAGTAGCTTACACTCAGTTTTCTCCTCTTTATTTTCAGCCAGAATGGAAGAACCAAATTATGTGACTCCTATCATCATTGCAATAGCAGCCTTAGCAACAGCAGCTGGTCCTGTGGCAGCCATCTTGATTTACGTCTCTAGGAAGGCAAAGATCAATGGATCATACAGTCTTGTAAACTCACTGAAAGCAAAAGTGTAGAGAAGAGCAACAACACATTTTTGCACCTTTACCAAGTGGATTGTGTTGGGTGATCTTGGGTCAGTTGCTGGGAGGCCTTCCAACACGGACATCTAAATGGTTTGGTTTCTCTGGCTCAAACCCAGATTTTAAGGCAGTAGATCCAGATATCATTATCTTCTACTGTGACCTGGTTGCCCTATGGCTTTATTCATCTTTTGTTTTGCGAAAAAGAAGAGGAGGACATAATAAATATACCGGTCTTTTGGAATAGTAGCACTAGGAGCAATCTATTTGGAAAGCACCCTATCTCTCAGGATAAGCTGTCTCACAGATTGTTGTGAGAATAAAATGGGATAGGGTTATGTATGTCTGCCCTAAGATCCTTGCTGGAATGATTTTTTTTAATTTTGTGAATAAAACCTTGTGTTTTGTTGTTACTTCAGTTAGTAGGACTGGAAAGATTGCCTGAGAACAACAGGAGTGTCTTTATTTTTCAGTAGAGCTGCCTTCAGAGAAGGAAATCTTAGAGGCATTTGGCTTTCCTTGGACATTATGCATAATTTCCTGAAAGTTTGTGTCACACAAAGTTGGAAAGTAAACTTGCCGGCCTGCAGTAGGCCTGTTAGTTTTATACATGGTCTTTAAATTCTACAGGTAGTATAAAAATAATTGTTAAATCGTTTTTGAAAAGATAGTATGCTTGTAATTATGGAGTGATTTGTTTTCAGTACGAGCATGGTGCAACTTAAAATATTTCACATTGACTGCAGCAAAATATGTTTCTTCCGTTGAGATCAGTTCTTATTGGCATGTATTTAATTTAGATAGGAGCATGTCTGGTACATATGTACCCCTATCCTCTTCCTCATTTGTAACAATACAGTCTAGCAATTTCAGTGCCCCACAGCTAAAGCCTAGCTGAAGAATTGTAGCCATCTGCTGGGAACGATATTTGTAAGTATCAAAGTCGGACAGGAGTGAACACTAGGTGTGCTGATACAGTACCATACTGAGGACCTGGCAGCAGGGGAAACTTTGCCGGGCCTGTGATTCTAATACAGAGTAATCTGGAAACTTCTTTGATTAGCATCTCTCTTCTCTGCTGTAGGCTGCCAACTTGGAGCAGTAAGTAAGTTACTGTCCCTTAAGATGGACAACAGGAGGATCTGGGTCAATTTTTGCTCCCAGGTTCTCCCATTCACCCTCAGAACAGCAGGAAAATAAAAACAAAAGTGACAGGATGTCCACTGCTATTTTGTCTGTTTATTTTTAATTGTTGATGTATGTTGGCTATGTGCACAGTTTTATCACAACAGCATCAGTCCTGGAGGCTCTTGGGAGAAGGAGAGGGCGATCCTCTTGTAAATACTGCTCATGGTGTAGCATAAGGGCCTGGAGGCTGCGGGGTGGAGGGACAACACAAAAATGGCCTTGAGCTGTAGTCTACCGTCCACATGCCCACCTACTAAGTGTTCACCACTGCTTTAAAACAGAGTGTAATTGCACTTGCTTTCAAAGTTTGGATTGAGAGGATATTCTTGACTATATTTTGCAAAAGAAACTCACTATATGTTGCACAATCAGATTACCACTTAGTTTCTACTGAAGAAATATGTCCAAAGTTTTTTTAAAAAAATATTCCATCACTCCTACTTTGCAAGCTCATGTACTTGGTACTTTTTGTATAGTATTATTTAAATCTATTTGTAATGACAGAGTTTTCTATTGTGAAATAAAGTACTGGTGTTTACATTGCTTCCGTTCCTTTCTGTAAATCCTTGTTGTGTTGGACAGTGGAGTAACTAAAATATTGTAAATAGGTCAAAATCCTATTGTGTAGCTGTGTAACTACTTGCAAAATCAGTTGCACAATCAGGCACACAAGGCAGACTGCTTGGATGTAACGCCCTGTGGGTGAAACTGTTTTGCCAAGTGCAACAGGATTTCAGTCTTTTCCTTGCTTAAAAAGACTTGCTGTAGTGTATTCTATAGAAATTGCTGGACTTACAGAACTTTGAAAGTGCTGCTGTAAACTTTCATTTGATGGCTACATCGGAGTTTATCCTGCTCTGTTGCCCCTTGCTGGAACAGTTGTGATGGCTCTGAAAAACACTGACTACGTAGCCTACTTGTTAGAGCATTCCAATTTGTCCCTAATGGGGACCAGTACATCCCAGATTGTTCTAGGGTTGGAGCCTACAGTTTATTTGGAATGATTGGGATTGGTCCAAACAAACACAGTTTGCTTGCTTGTGATCACCTAAATCTGCTCCATTGTGGCATTGGGGTGTGTATTTAATTTTTTTACATGTTAATGGTGCTGTGTAGAGGTTGGAGTGGTCTGGATGTGACTGCAGATGACACCCTGTGCCCTATTTTGAAATGGAAAAAGACATATTTGTTTTCTTAATTAAAGGAAAAATGCGGGACTAAAACGTCCACTCCACAGTCCTGTCCCTTTATCTGCAACCCCCCCACCAGCATTAATGCCCACCTGCAAGCAAACAGAAACAAGCTGTTTCTCAATCTGCCTACAGCTGTTGCAAAAGAGAAGACGAGAGGCAGGGAGCAAGAAGGGAAGGGAGACATTGTGACAAAACAGAACAATCTGACAACAACATGTGGTTGACTAGATCGCAAGTACAGCGGCTGCAGGAGCGACTTCCATCTGAACCGAAGGAGTGGTTTAAGCCGTACTGTTCCAAAGTGACCCAAACTAGATCACTATCTGTCACTTATGTAGCTGTACCCTACCCACTGTCCCTGCTGTAGAAGAAGCATCCTTGGAAGATTCTGTTTTGAAAGAGGAAATGTAAAGTCAAAAAACCCAAAAAGGCAGACCACTGTGTATGCTGTATTTCCAAGGGATGTGTTTTGATTGCACTCTGACAAAGTTTTCATTGGAATTAATGTAATCCTGTTTTAATGGTTGGCCTTGTTTTCCGTTTTAATTGTACAGTATACTTTTATTTAATGTACTGAGCTGCCTTGAATCTCCTATTTGGGATAAAGGCAGGATATAAATCCAATTTTTAAAAAATCCTATCAAATGGCTGTTCTCTTCCCCCCCCCACCCGTTGTCTAAAATGTTGGGACTTTAGATACCAAATTTGTGATTCTTCTGATCCCCACCAGCCAGATAAGCGGGGAGAGTGAGGTCTTGGAAGACCATCCCAGTAAACATCTATACTTTCCATCAAGTTCCTGGCTTGCTTTCTTGTTTTGTGACTGCATTGAAGAAACTGGTATTTGAAAGCACCCTAACCATCTTTCTATTTCCATTATAAAGGCTTGGCTGTGGAGAGGATCTATGACCAGTGCAGTCCTGTCATTGAAAGGACTTTTTCTCTCTCCACTAGGTTACAAGAGTGTTGCACCTCATGCCCCAGTGGGGAGAACCATTCAAAACCAGGGTTACAGAGAGAGGCAGGGTAAGAGAAAGGATGCCTATGGCATTTTGAAATAAAGGCAATGCCCATCCTACTGTAATCATTATAAAGAGGGTAAAATTGGATGGATTGGGAGTGTTATGTTGAGATACCATTTGGTTCCTGGTTCACTTCTGGCTGGATAGCTTGGTGGTTTAGGTAGAGGTTGGGAGTTCGATTCCCCACTGCCTCCTGTAAATACAGCCAGCCTGTGTGGTATCAGGCAAGTTACACAGTCCCAGGACACTCCTAGAAGAAGGGAGTGGCAGACCACTTCTGAATATGCTCTTATCTGAAAACTCCCAACAAAAAGTCACCACAAGTCAAAATTAACTTGATGGCACATGATAACTATTATTCACTTCCAGCATACTCGGTTCTTAATACCTTTCAGAGGTCCAGACCCTTTGCAGACATTTCCCATGAAACACTTTTCTTCATGGGATGAGAACTTGCATCTCAGGCTTTGATCTTTCTCCACCACAAGATATTATCCCTATAAATGTGTGATGTCCCCTCTAGATCTTCTGTAGACCAAATATGGCCGTGTCATTAAGCAGGTGAGACAGTCATCTCAGGCAACAGATACTGGGAGATGGCAACAAAGTGCTGGCAGAGAGGTGTATGTTATGTGGCTGCCCCGTTTTCAGGTGCAGTGGAGGGATAGCACCCTACTGCCATTGTTGAAAAAAGCTTCAGTTGCCATTCTAATCATCTTTTTGCACAGAGAATTAAACAGCATTTTGTTCCCCACCTCAAGTAGCAAAATATTTCGGGAGAACCCTGTTGTAGTCCCATCTGTCTATTACACACATAATTTTGAGACATCATCTGATTAATATACTCGCTGTGACATACACTGGAGCAACACAAACGCAAGAGTCTGCAGAATGGCATGCCGTCTAAAAACTATCACTCTTTGTGTGCAATGGTTGAGTGCCCTAAAGAGTGCTACATTCAACAAACATGCATTTCCCTAAACCAGTGATTCCCAGCCTTGGCTCTTTAGATGTTCTTGGATTACAACTCCCAGAAGCCCTTGCCAGCACAGCTAGTGGTGAAGGCTCATGGGAGTTGCAGTCCAAGTATGTCTGGGGACGAAAAGTTGGAAACCACTACCTAGATGTTTCAGAAAAAGTATTTAGCAAGGGATGGGCTACTAGAGGCAGTCTCCTATTTTGTTCTAACTAGCACCGTAGAGTAGTTGGAAAGACAGTCTTTTCACACACTGGTAGGGGCACTTTGTGACTAAGGCAATCTCTAACTTTCCTCACTAGGCTTCACAGGTACACTACCTATGAAGAAACAAGACATCTTTATTATAATGTTTTTATATAAATCTACAGCATAACCAAACTTGGAATATTGTGTACACCTCAGAAAGATGATTATACAGCTAAAAAAAAAACACACATACACACAGCAAAGGGCAACCAGATTTATGGAGAGGCTGGAGCAATTCCCCTGTGAGGAAAGGTTACTGGGGGGCTTTGTAGCATGGGAGAGGGATATATTTAAAAAGTGCATAAAGTTAAGCATAGTGTGAAAATTATGAGTAGCAATTCTTCTTTACTCTTCTATAACATTAGAACTGGATGTATTCCAACAAAGTTGAATGGTAAGAGATTCAGGACTTCTTAAAGGAAGCGCTTCTTTACACTGTGCCTAAATGGACTACAGCATTTGCTATGACAGGATTTAGTGACAGCCATATTAAAAAGGGGTTAGTTAAGTTTCTGGAGGATACATCTGTCAAAGGCTACTAACTGTAATGGCTGTATACCACTTCCAGAGTCAAACACAGTAGGCTTCTGAATACCAGTTACTGAGGAACATGAGCAGGAGAATGCTGTTGTGTATATTTCCTGCCTGTTAACTTCTAATGGACATTGAATTTGTCACTGCGGGAAGAGAATGGTGGAACAGATCAGCCTTTGGCCTCAGTGAGAATAGCTCTTTTTATCTTCTTATAGTCACTGTTTCATCCATTGGAAGAAAATAGACAATTGAACACCAACAGCTTGCTTTTCAATTGAAGCTTTAAGAAGTCCAGGTTCAGAGGGTCCAGGTTCAGAAGGGGTGGACAAATTTGGTGGATCCAGAGTCCAATTTTCTATCCCAAGACCCATGCAGAAATGAAGTACCAAAATATGCAGGCAGGCAGGCAGGCAGAACCACAAAATGAGAAGGAGCTGGAATACCATTTCACATTTTAAGAAACTGAGGTTTTGTATGGTTTACAGGGGAGGTATAGTATAATCTATTTAGACTGTGAATTATTGCCCTAGAAGCTTCTAGGAGTAACAATTATTGCTAGAAACAGGGAGCTCAGAGGCATTGAGAAGGGGCATGGCCCATCAAAATAGTTGGCCTGCAGTTTGTCTGCCTGTAGCGTTGGGAAGAGCCTTTGCCTGCTTGTTCTGTGTACGTGACAAAATGGCACCAGTGGAGAAGCAGACTTGCTATACAGTCCTAGAAACAGAGGTGGCTACATTCCAGTCTTTCCAAACAAGCAATTATTTATCAAGTGTATGCATGGGATACTTCAAATGCCACCGGGAATCAGCATTAAAATCTTGGGAGAAGATAAGAAGCAAATCATCAGCTAGGACTGCTCCACAGACCTATTTTGAAGTTACAATAACATGTTTTGTTAAAGCTGCAGATTACTGTCTTTCCAACTACCTTACAGTGCTGGTTAACTGCAGATGCCTCTCTTGGACTTCCTCTCTTTTTTAACGGAAAAAAAAGTTGATGCAGAATTTTGATTGTGTTGATTTGCATACTGCTTCTGGCAACTTCTTGGGGGGGGAAATGGCAGTGAAATAATGTAAATACTGTATAGGAAATACAGGAAAATATTTGAGTAGAATGGTAAGCACACATTTACCTTGACATTGCCCAGATCACCATTGGCAGCAGGTGGGTGTGAAACGTCTCTTGGAGGTATTGAACTTAACAGCAGGTCAGCTCTCTTGAAATATTTGAAGAGCAATCATTGTTGCTTTTCGTGCTCCAGAAACAGTGGACTAACCAACGGATTCAAATCATTAGAAGGTGTTTGTCAACTAAATATTATGAAAAAAAATGTCCTGATTGGACAAGCAATTTAACAGTGAAATAAGCTTTTTTAACCTCCCCGCAGTATCTTTGTTAAGGGTTTCTGAACAGAGGCTGAATGGTTGCCAACCAGGTGTCCTGAAGCAGCAGATTTTCTGCATTGTCAGAAGCTGGACCAGATAGCCTTTGGGTTATCCCAAATCCTTCGTGTCCAATCCCACTTCTAGTCCTTCAGTTCTGGGAACAGAATCCTCATCATAACTTGGC